TATTTTGTTAAGTTCAAGAACTTGATAGAAAATCAAGCAAATGTGAGTATAAAGGTTTTCAAGAGTGACAACGATAAGGAATAAACTACTAAGGACTTTGAAAATTTTTTGTCTGAGTTTGGCATCGCTCATCAACTGATTGTTGTGTATAACCCTCAATGCAATGGAGTTTCTGAGAGGAAAAATAGAACTCTAATGGAGATGGCAAAATGTTTGCTATTCTAGAAGCACCTACCAAAACACCTTTAGGCAGAAGCTGTGAATACAGCAAACTATATTTTGAACTTGACACTGACAAGAACTTTGACAGATATAACACCATTTGAGGCATGGTTTGGGTACAAACCTTCAGTAACTCACTTAAGAGTATTTGGGAGCATTTGTTATGCAAAGGTTCCTGATCAAAGCAGGACCAAGTTGGACGAAAAAAGTATTGTGGCCATTTATATTGGATACAGTGAGGTCTCGAAAGGATACAAACTATATAATGTGAAGACTCAGAAGATTTTATTCAGTAGAGATGTCAAATTTGATGAACATTCTTACTAGAATTGGGAGAAGTTAGCTATTGATGCTTTGAATTTTCAAAACTTGGTGCAAGAGTTGTCAGTGAGAGAAGATGATACAGAAGTGGATATTGAAAATGAAAGTCTTGCTGTGAAGGGTACTAGGTCACTGCAAGATATTTATGCCAGGTGTAATATGGCAGTGTGTGAACTTGTTAGTTGTGCAGAAGCTGCAGCAGACAGAAGGCGGATGCAAGAAATGGAGTAAGAAACGCTGATGATTGAAAAGAATAGTACTTGGTTATTGGTGGACAAACTAAAAGATCAACATGTAATTGGAACAAAGTGGATTTTTAAGACAAAGCTTAATGCTAATGGAATAGTGAACAAGTACAAAGCAAGACTAGTGGTAAAAGAGTATTCTCAGATTTATGGTGTGGACTACCAGGAGACTTTTGCTCCAATCGCGAGACATGACATAATAAGGTTGCTGGCTGCAGTAACTGCTCGAAAAGGTTGAAATATTTGCCATCTTGATGTGAAATCAGCTTTTTTGAATGGTTACCTTACTGAGCACATTTATATTCATCAACTAAAAGGATTCATCAAACTAGGGACCGAGGATAAAGTTTGCAAATTTGTGAAAGCATTGTATGGTTTAAAACAGGCCTCAAGGGGACTCATTCCTCATTGTTGAAGGCTTTCGAATGAGTCAAAATGAGCCTACACTGTACGTAGGCAGTCCTGTAGCTTCTGTTAAGGTAATTATCTCCTTATATGTTGATGATTTATTATGTACAGGTTCGGGTGTTAGTTTCTTAAGTGATTTGAGAGCAAGTTGATGAAAGAATTTGAAATGATTGACTTGGGAGAGATGCACTATTTTTTGGGATTACAATTCATTCAAAAGTCAGATTATATTTGCATACATCAAAGTAAATATGCAAATGAAATTCTGAAGAAGTTCACATGGAGAAGTGTAAAGCTGTGGATACTTATTTAGCTTTAAACTGCATATTAACAAAGGATGATGGTACCCCAAGTACAGAAAGTTCAATGTACAGAAGCAT